TAAAATACTTTTTTATTGTGAAAATATTCGTTGATCTTCCTCTCATTGCATACCAACTACGTCATGTTTTACGAAATGACATCACATCGACAAACTCATAGCGATCAATGACTTGTTTATACCATGTCATGAGAGATTTAACTAACGACAAAACAGCAAGCTACATTAAGCTTCAATGTAGTTTAATTCTCTCGCATGGTTTAAAATAGCAAATCATTTCATCTTGTGGTATTTTAAAGAATTTGTAGATTTGTGTGATGTCATAGTTAACATTTCCAGTACAAATTAGTCCCCGCCTCCTTTTTGTAGCCTTAACTGTGCTGTGTTGACCTTTGATCTCAAAATCAATAGGGTCTTTTTAGGCAATAGGGAGTTGTGATGTAAAATTTCATTGCAAAAGCTCAAGGCATCTCGAAATATCGCCTGGAAACGAAAGTGTTACACACAGACAAAAATACAGCCAGACAGACGGATGGACGGATGGACAGACAGACAGTAATACCCAAATTAATATCCCCTCATTCAGTGAAAGCGGGGGACAAAATATACAAGTAATACGAGGGGTGATCAAAAAGTTCGCGAACTATCTCTATATTTAAAAAAAACACAATTCAGATTAGAATGAAATTTGGAAGACATATAGTTATACACATGTTATATAAATAGCAGATGTTAAATAATGTTTTGCTCCGTGTTTGTGACGTCACAATGTGAAAATGACGTCAGTATGTAGGTCACTTGTGACAAAAAAAGGTTGACTCAGTCGTACTCGAGCAACGAACGGCTGTAAAGTTTAACGTATATCTCGGAAATTCCTTTGTAGTAGAATATGATAATTTCTACAAGGTCTATGAAGACAAAAGACTTACCAGAATTTCAGTCATTAATTGGATTGAATGTTTTAGTGAAGGCAGGGAGATGGTTTAAAAAGATGTTTGTTCTGTTGCCCAGCGAAAGCAAGCCGGTAAAAAGACGTGTCCTTAGTTGAGCAATTTGTTTTAAAAGATCGCTAAATTACAGAAAAATAGTTGAATATCTGAGCAATAATATAATTATTAAATCCCTAAAATATCGTTTGCTTTAGACTTTAAACATATGAGATATGAAAAAATGAAGGCGCCCATACTTTTTCCACATTGGATAAACGACGCTCCTGAGACAGAGGACTCGGGTTGTGATGGTGGCCATGCTAATTCTGGGTAGGGATATCCTTATCCACCCATCCTATTGCCGAGATTTGGTCATTTCTGACAGATGGTCTGTTCTTGTTATAAAAAATTACTTGCATGGTAAGAAATATAAGAGTCAGAAAAATCTCTTAGCTTCTGTGAACAGACCGCTACGAAGCATGTAACGTGACCGCCTGGATCACGTGATTCGCACATGGGCAGAACAATTGCAGACGTGCATTAAAATCGGAGAGGACTATTTTTAAAAATAATGAACACTAAAACCTCATTTTATTTCTTTTAAGGAAGTAATTCAATTAGTTCGCGAACTTTTTGATCACCCCTCGTACTTCCATTTAATATCAAAAATGTGCTTGAAAAGCTGGAGAACATAAAATATAGCAATCTGAAATTAATAGTAAACTATCTTTAATTTACTATAGTAACAAGCGTTCCGAGAGTAATGCATTAGCAATACTAGTCTCCTACCGGCAGGTGTAATCTGGTTCCCGTTAAAAATTGAAAATGCCATAATTCCGCCAAAAATCAACGAAGCGGAACGAAATGCGAAGTTAATCTGTAACTCATCAAGAAACACCCACAAACCAAATATCAGCGCAATATCTACAAGCGTTTAGAAAAAAGTGCAGAAAACCAAGTGGGACAGACTGACAGACAGACAAAGGGACAGACAGACAGAGGGACAGACAGACGGACAGTCAGACTGACAGACGGACGGACGGACAGACTCAGAGGAAACCTATAGTCCCCTCCGGTTTCACCGGTAGGGGACTAAAAACATTGATACTATGATAGTAAATTCAATTGTCTATAATTTGATCTACTATTGTGTTACAGGATTTGGTTTTACCTTCGGCTAAGGTACCACTCACGGCACCAATGTAATCGAATTTCGTTACTCGGTACCTATGTAATTAGAAAATTAAACGATACCACCCTAAGAAAATACCTCTTTTATTCTCAAATTAAGTCCTTTAGCAACACACTTTCTTTATCAATAATAATACATTGTACTCTGCTTTTTTTTTATTTCACAATTCTTACTAACCAATAAACCTGTTGTATTTCAATTTGTCACGCAAGTGACTTACAAAACCACGAATTTTAATAACAAGAATTTGCAAATTAACAAGTATTTCTTAGGGCCAAAATTATTTTATTAACAGCACAAAGACTTTACATGTATATGTAAATCAAAACTGATGTAATAACAACCTAATATCTTACTAATGAGCCTCAATAAAAAATAGTGCCCACCGAACAGGTGTAAAAAAGCCAGAGCCCGAACCCAGTACTATGTGTGAAGTTGAATGATCCATCCCTGCACGAAAAATCTGCTATGCCTAATCTAGCCAATGTACCAAAAATAGAAATAAGGAACTGGAAATAATACTAAAATGGACATGTAAATGAACGGATTGAACGAGACAAACGAATGAATTGACCGAGACAGAAATCGAACTGAAAGAAACATAGACAGAGACCGGGATCCACCCCTATCAGAAAGTTAGCTGGCACGAACCTTTGAGAAGGTTCCAAACCAACTGATCTATACATGAAATGCTGGACTTAAAATACACCGCACACTGAAGGTGTGTCTCTCTTATCCAATCAGAAACTACATTCTATGTATAATTCAGACAGGACGTTTCCCAAATCATTGTGTAAAACTAGAAAGTTTCCGAATACATAATAACCAATCCAAATTAGCTTTATTTTCTACCATCGTAAAATCCAATCCTATCACAATATACAAAAGTGAAGTATCGTTAAATATTGTAAACTATTCTTAACTATAGTATTTTTATGTTCTATTGCCTATAATATGAATAAAACACCTATTTGTCTATTTGGGGAGGAAAGCATGCAGACCATCGCATCTATAACAACTTTAAAGACAAGCGTACATTTTGTTTTTATCGATGACTATACATATATATGCCCGCGTGACACATTTGTTAGAACTTTTGCCCTAAAGTCGCGGAATAGGGAGTTGATCCTTACGTCGCGAGTTGGAATCCAATTGTGACACGTGAAGACTGGTACTTCGGATGAGACCCTTATAAACCGAGGTCCCGTTTTGCAGTAGGTGCTGGCACGAAAAAAAAAATCCCTCACTGCTTAATGAACCTGAGTGCCGAGATAGGTCAAAATTTGAAGCCCTCCAGCGGCAACTGGTGGGGTCTCAATATAAGTGAAAATTTTTGAAAAGGGGCGTGAAACAAACAAACAAACAAACAAACAATCGAACATACAATTAACTATTGTCCTATCACAGAACTGTATCTTAATGTGTAATCCAAATGGCTTTCAGGAGAGGTGTGATTTTCTGTCGCGTGTGTCTATTTTCAAAATATTTTAAATGGAGAATGTCATTTTAGACACAGGCACCTGGAACGTGGATCACGTACATCTCTACATCCCCAACATCTAATTACAAAAGATTCCAGGGCCAATATTTTCTAGAAAATATGCGATTCCTTTAGTTATCAATTCCATCTTTATATCATTCTGTACAATCGGTATGTCTTGTTTTTTTTCAATTTGGCCATATAGGGTATATTTGTGCTTATATAACTTATATGCAAAAGTATATATGAACATAAAAAACATTTTCCAACTTCAAATCAATGTGTATCGTGTGGATCACACCAGTATTTTTACCTACATTTCATTGCCTATAGATCTACCAGTCACTAGATAGATACTGTATGTATAAAGTCCGACTTTACATTCCTTGTGGTTATCTGTATAATCTAATTTTAGTTGCAAGGCCTCATTTGACTAGATAAAAAATTAGATTAGAAATTGTTTTTATTTTCTGCACTTGATGATGGCAAATTACATTCGCAGTTTATAAAGCGTAAACTGCCCCAAACCTAGGTTTGGTAGCTACCGGTATTAAATTCATTCCTTTGAAAAAGGAGATGGGTGAACATAGCGTGCAGAAAGCCTATAGCTTCAGATATATAAAAATCATTTCAATTTGTGAATTTAATATTTAGAGTAAAGTTCTCATTATTGAAATTTACGAAATTATAATAAACAAAACTTTTCTGAGGAACATTTTCTCGGCAAAATTTATTCTTTTGTTTAAAAAATAATGTGGTATTCGTGGGGTTCGAACACTAAGCAATAAAAATCCTGAGTATCATATTCTTTCGAGACTAGCACGCTAACCACTAGACTACACAAGTCCTGATGAATAGTGGCATTTAAATCATGTTTGTGATATGACCCTTGACTTAATGGACTTCAAGTATTTCTCGAAAAGATGCGAATGTTATGTCATAAAAGTATATTTTTAAGGTATAGTGGGTCTTTTCTCCATGTTTTTGGAAACCAAAAAATGTATATTTTTATGCAAACTTTGAGGATTAAGTTTCAAAAAAATGGAGCGAAGACCCACTCATAACGAAAAATAGTGTTATAGTGTGAGAAAACGACTCTTTTTGCCCTCTTTAGTGTGTATATAATATTTCATAAGCAAATAATTTCAATCTTTGTGAGATTTTTGCAAATTGTAGAGATTTTACATAAAGTATATTTTGATGTTAGATGAAATATCAAGGAAAATTTTGATATAATTCAGATTTAATTTTTCACCTTCATGTTTGTTACACTATAGGCTTTTCGCTCGTCATGTTCACCCATCTTCTTTACACCTGACTGTATACTTAAAACTTCATTGAGCACCTAGCTGACATAGTGAAGACACGTGTAGGTGTGAAGTCCGATTTCACAATCCTTGTGGTTATCTAACATGCAAACAAAAAACCGGGTAATTCGGGTAGGTGACACCCGACAAACATGGCTGCCAGAAACTCGAAAGAAAATCCTTTGGGTTCACCTTTAGTGCATATAAAAATGTGTGAAATCCATGAAAAGACTATTGATATGATATATGAGGACTGTGATGAATTCATTTGTGTTGGATGTGCCTTGACAGATGATAGAGAGCACGATCCGAAAACTCTAGCAACGGCAGCAACCCAAAGGAAGAGAGATCTACCTAAATTTATGAAGAAAATCAAGGAAGAAAATCTGTCTGTGATTGCTGAGAAGATAGACAAGATTTTACAACAAATCACAGAAAATAAACAACTGTGTGACTCTGAGATTAAAAAGCTACAGAAGCATTATGATGAGATAATAGCCAGGCTGACAGAAATCAGAAAACGTCATGAACAAACAGTAAGAGACGATTTAGTTAAAAAGAATGATCAACTGAACCATGTGAAATCTGAGTTAGACAAGAAGAAGAGAGGAATTATTGACATGGTGGAATTCATGGAGGAGAACAACAGCACCATGTCGGATTACAGCTTGATTGACAACTATAGAGAACTGACAAGAATGCTGTCTGAATTAGAAGTTCATACAACAAACTGTGAACATTCAGTGAAGTTCACAAGAGGGGATATTAATAATAACTTACTTGAATCTTTGGTTGGAAGAACTGTGGATTTAAATGATATTGCTGGGTCACAGTCTGTCCGTTCATCTGTCCATCTGAGATCTCTTGTCCAGAGCATATCTTCTCTCTCCTTCACTGATGATATTAACAAGACCATCAGCTGTCTGTCACCATCAAGATCTGTTTCTACAGTCATCAGTACAGATCCACTGGAACCAAACGGAATCTGTCAGTCAATGGACGGTGGACTACTGGTCACCTTGAGAGACATGGAATCAAGGGATTACATATTAGATTCACAGAGCTGACGTCTGGTGAGACAAATCACAGTGACAGGTGATGTCATCCATGACTATGAATACCAGGAGGATGGTCAGACCAGACTGTTTACTTTGCCACGCAGAGTCACACAGAACAGTAACAGTGATATCTGTGTTGTGAACATTTCAAGTCTCAATACAGGTGAACTAAAGATTATGTCTACCTCTGGTCGTATAACGTCTGTCTACCGTGGACAGAACCTAGCAGAAGACTTTGATCCATTTGATGTAGTTTGTGACTCCCTCTGTAACATCCTTGTTACTGACTTTAATAACAAACAGATCCATCTGCTGGGCCCTGAGGGAGAGTTCTTGAAGTTCTTACTGACAGAGAATGAAGTGAACCGTCCATTACCACTGTCCCTACACAAGTCTACACTGTGGGTAGGATACTGGAAATGAGTTGTCAAAGTCTATCAATACAAGATGTAAAATGTTACAATGAATAACTTTTGATTGAATTCTTCATCACAGTTAACAATATCTTCATAAGAAATAATCAAATTATAGTCTGATAAAATACATACAGAGTTCTCATATTTTGTTATCATCGTTCACGGGAGGCCGTGATTTCGAATCTCGGCCGCGACTGACCTAAGTCGATAAAAAGTGGGTAGCAACTGTTCCTTCGCCTTGCGTTCGGCACTTTGAAGTGAAAGTTGCGGGTCCTTTGGATGAGACCTTATAACCGATGCCCCGTGTGACGGCAGGCGTTGGCACGATAAAGATCCCTCACTGCTCAATGGCCCTGAGTGCCGAGTAAAGGTCAAAATTTGAAGCCCTTCACCGGTATATGGTAACGTCTCTATATGAATGAATAATTCTTGAATGGGACGTAAAACAACATATAATCAATCATTCATATCTTGTTATCAATCAGACTTACTCATCACAACATAACCAGAATCATATATTGTTCTAGAATTTTTAAAAACAAAATATAAGCTTTCTCGTTTGTTATGTTTGGTCCCTTTAATCATATTATAGATAAAGAACGATTGCACTAAGCATATACAAAATGTGGAACCCAGAAAAATAACAAAAAATATCAAGTTTGAAATAAAGAGTGACACGATTCTTAAATGTTTTGTAACTTAGCAAAAAGAAATTGTATGGAACGAAGTAGTTTTGTAACATGGGTCATCAATTTATCTCGAATCCCTATAGATACTTATGGTAAGTCCTATTTTCATAGAAAGTGGGGATGTAATAGTATCAACTTTTTTGAAAGTTTAAGATTAAATATCTTTGTTACACGGTAAAATTAAAGGAACATTATACATTTATTGACTAAGTTCGAGAGTAATAACATGCGTTTTGTCGGATAGGCCAAAGGTAAACAGTTTGGTTTGAGAGTCGACAAAATTCATTTTGCCACAGAACACAGTCAATAAATGTTTTGTTATACCTTTTATTTTTTTTTTTTTGACATGCATGTATCTCGTGCTATCTTCCGTGGGGTAAACTGAGGTTAAATTCCGTCACTGTCGAACACCAACGAATGCAAATGAGATTTAGCTCCGCGCATTATGTGACGTAAGCGGTCCAACATCTCATCGAAAGGTCCAACATCTCACTCAGCGGTCAACATCGATTTTTTTTATGACCGCTCAATATAACATTGGAAATGTTAGATATTTTCGTATAGATTTGTACAGGAACAAATCTTTAAAGGTATAACAAATATATTTATTTTTGGGGATTCCATTGTCTTCATATTCTTTTCATTGAATTTCAACATAGATATAAAATTAAATTTGGGAAGACTTAAAAAAAATGATTTGACAGGAAACTTTTCGTGATAAATATGTTTAATCTGTTAATACATGGTGAGGGCACCTGCTGATCGGACTACAAAAACAAAAATGAGTTTCTCTATATATTCCTATGTAAAACTTTGATTGCCCACTGTGGCCCCAACCAACCCCTAGGGGTCATGATTTGAACAAACCTGATTCTACACTACTTGAGGATGCTTTCATATAAATATGACCAATCATGGCTTTGCTGTTCTTGTTCTTCAGCGGGGCCACATTGGGCAATCAAAGTTTTACATAGGAATACATAGGGGAAATCTTTATAAACGTTCTTCTCAAGAACGGACAGAGAATGAATTTAACCGTCCATACACACTGTCCCTACACGAGTCTACACTGTGGGTGGGATACAGTAGAGGACTTGTTAAAGTATTTCAATACAGGATGTAAAATGTAACAATAAATAACTTTTGATTGAATTCTTCACCACAGTTAACAATATCTTCATAAGAAATAATCACGGTATAGTCTGATAAATACATACCGAGTTCTCATATTTTCTTATCAATCAGATTTACTCATCACAACATAACCAGAATCACAAATTGTTCTCGATTTTTGTAAACAAAATTTCAGCTTTCTCGTATGTAATGTTTGGTTTCTTTTATCATGTTACAGATAACATGACCGTAGGAAACATTTTTTTGGTTTGTCATTGAATTTTTAGTAGTTGAAAGTGCCCCCCCCCCCCAACTGAAAATGTATGCCTGCCCCCTCCCCCCCCCCCCAACTGAAATTGCTTCCTATGGGGCCTGAATAAAGAATGACTGCACTTAATACACACAAAATATGGACTCCCAGTAAAGTGATAAAAAATATCAAGTTTGAAATGAAGAATGACACGATTCTTAACTAAGCGAAAATAAATTGCATAGAATGAAGTAGTGTTTTGTAACATGGGTCATCAATTTATCACGAATCTCCATATACACTCATGTTCAGTTCCACTTTCATAGAAAGTGGGGATGTGATAATTTCTACTTCTCTTTTTTTTAATTGTTCAAATAACTGTGTAACATAGTAAAATTAAAGAAACATTTATATATCTGGCGGGGGATTTCACTGTGTTTATATTCTTTTCATTGAATTTCAAGATCGTATAAAATATAAAGAACTACGAACGTTAACTCTCGATTCCCGCCTACATTTTAAACCCATTGATTCAATATAAATGACAGTTTGGCCATTAAAACTTATTTGAATGCAAAGAAGAGTTCGTTAGACTAAGGCTTTACAAGTCTTTTAATAAGGGGGTAGAAAATTTTATCCATTAAAATCAGGCTTTTTTACATCACCAGATTCGCATGAAAATGTATAAATGACCCTTAAATCTTTCCGTATGCTTAATTTATGTTAGTTCAACATGTATGATTGATAAAGTACATTTTTAAGCACTAAGCGCAGCGCAAAGCGCTTACTGGCATCTTAATACTACTTCCGTTCGCGATCCAGCGCCACTAAGCAAGTAAGATAACTCCACTGACTCTTCTAAAAATATGCAACTGGAAATCCCCGACTCTCTTTCGGCTATTTTGGTCAAGTACTTCGTTACGCGCAGTTCTAATTATAGATGTCAATAAGAGAGATAGAGAGTACGAAATCCGCTCCTAGTGGATGAGGGCGGTTCTTATCTCTTTACATTGTAGTTCATTTAAAAATTATGTAGACACACACCACTTGTGTAACATATAGCTAACAGTTACTATAGTGTTAATTCGAAAAAGTTATGAAAAAAACATCTTTGGTGCAAATATCTTAAAAAAGGCTCATAATAGGTCATGTTATGCAGTGATTGAATACGTACATATATTTGATATTTGAATACGTACATATTTTTAAAACTCAGAAAATTGATATACAGTGTACTTACGTTCTATATAATTTATATCTATATTAACTAATATTTCTTCTTCTAGACCCTTATTTCAGACAATGTAACTAAAAACATGTCTTTTTATTATCATCCTTGCTCAATGTACAGCGCTATCAATGATGTTGAATTTCGCATCTCAGTACCAATTAATAACAGACTGGAATGCAGTCATGGACTGTCTATACTCGTGTTGTAATCTATACGTGTAACACAGATAAAAAAAATTATGAAATATGGGGAGATAACGAGCCGTATTCGAGCTCAAACGTTCATTAAACCTTACAAAATAGGAGCATAGCAAACACGGACCTCTAAAATTATGTAAATAATTCGCAAGGAAAGGCAGTTTGCGGCTGTACGTACATTTAGGGCGCAAAGACTTATAAATGAAAACTAATTTCTAGGAAATATTTATGACAAAAGTGTGCAGTGCGCAAGATATGGTGAAAAATGCAAAACCTTAATTATTTTCAGTATTCCGTTTCACCGAACACACCAGTGCAGTGGATATTTTATTCCTATCAGGACGCCATTGAATGTACTTCTTATAATATCCTTTCTATAGAATCGTAAATTTATAACTCGCTTATGAATATGCAAAAGAAAAAAAAAATGAAATATACTAAAAAACAATTCAGACAAAATATTTAGTTGTTTTAAGATCTTTTATTCTTAACTTTAATAAATATGTTATCAATTAGGTATTATTTTACCGAAGCAGTAAAAAATAACGTCTATTTTTAAGTGCATTTCTTACAGATAAAATTACAGTCAACAGCCAATCTTCAATCTGAAACACTCATGAACACAGAATGAATTTATTATTAACAATTATCACCAGAACATTTTTAGCTGTCAGTGTTGCACATAAATGAGAGAAATAAATCAGCGACATTTACATGTGTTCAAAATTGATCTATTTCCAGCGAATGTATAATGTATAGCTATGTGTATAGTCTGAATTTTGTTGGAAAACTCGTCGAACCCCCCCCCCCAATTTGCTTGCAATTTATACGCAAAGCTAAATTTTTATAGACTCTTAGGGCGATGGAGAATGGTAGATGTTGAATATAACTAAGTGTAAACCGAGGCACCCCAGGAATCCAAGAAGACGAGCGTCGAACCTTTAAACTTTTTATATACAGAAATATTATATATAATTTTAAAAGTCCTAATTACAATGACTTTTTTTGTTTTAAAAATGTATTCAGACCCACATAATACACAAAATATACAATCCTGAAACCAATCGCCTATGGTTGAATACACCGCAATATCCATCACTGTGGGATTTTTAA